ACACACACACACACACACACACACACACAACACACACACACACACACACACACACCACACACACACACACACACACACATACACACACCGACACACCAACAGACACACTTAGCGAATTATATAAAGTAGGATACTGTTCCGGATACGACAGATAACTTTTCAGGAAAATTGGTTACTTCCGTGCTTCGTGATTACGATAAAAAGGTGAATGAGGAGTTCGCCATGAATAAAATGGAAGCCATATTCTCTGTAATAATGTCAGGGGATTGGGCGTACGGCCCACGAGACCACTATCGTTCCGGAGATGCTCCTCAACAATGCGTTCCTTCGCCGTGCAGGTAAGCTGGGCTGTCTGCTGTCTTGTTTTTGTGGTGTAAACTATTCTCTCATGCACTCTGAGGTTATGAGATCATTCACTTTTCCAAAATCAGAAGTAACAGTTGTTATAAAACACTCCTACTACTTTCTATGTTCTATTAAAAAGCAAAGGAGGCTTGTAGTACTGGTGGCGAAAGTAAATATGGCACCTTACTTGCTATGATTGATTGAACCTAACAATAATTCGCCTTTGATTATATGCTCAGCTCATAAATTGCAGGATGAGCAGGAAACCTTTAACCACGTAAGTAGAAGGAAGTACGGTGGAAAGACCACCCTTCTGAAAACATCATTGAGCATCACAACGTGGAAATGATTTTGGTCAAGTGCTGTGGACAAGTGATACCTTCATTTACGTTTTTGCTTTTGCCATTTTTCTGTGTTTTCTCTCTTCTCTCTCCGAAACTGAAAATTTGCAGTGGATTGATGCCCCTCAACATAGAGCTTTTAATCATCAAAACTGAACTCTTAAGCTGATGAAAGAAACAGTCTACAACTGTTATTGAGAGTTCTCCAGAAAGAAGGGGAGGGGGCTAGAAGGGGAAGCTGGGATAATTGTATTTCAATGAGTCTTTCCGAGGTAGCGGTATGTTTATGTGGCATGTTTAGAATGTTATTATACAAAACGCAGCGGATCACGTCAGCACAGTAACGAGAATGATTGCATTTAGTATGTTTCTCCTTCGTTTTGTTCGATTGACTTTGGGTTGTGCTAGAACCATTCGTTCGTATTTCAGATGTATAGAGCTGTCATATTTCAGATGTCATGTTCCAAAAGCAAATGGTGGAACAAACAGTAATTGCCCGCATGAGACGTGCGACAGATCAAATGGGGCGCAACATCTCTATGAAACTGATGCATGTACTCACATTGTACAAAAATCGTGAAGAAGCTGAAAAGGGTAGCGGATGCTGAGGGCGTACAACTCTCGGGAACAATTGATCATCTCCCCGCAATGAGACATGGATCATTCCAGATGTTTCTTAAGCCTTACCCATGTACTCATTTCTACACTTCATTTTTCATTGGAAGATTTGTTCTTGGTCCTTGCTGGTATCATCTTTTCAGAATATCTCATGTATGTATATATGTGTTTATGTATATGTAAAACAAAATTCATAAAGGTGAATCACCACCGTCCAAACTAACCAAATTAAGAAAGCAACACAGAGCGTTTGTCTCAGTGTTCTTTAGTGGAGGATGTTTGCCTTTTTATCAAACTCTCGGCTGATGTGAGTCGGACACGAGACGTTTTAATCGCTGAAAAGTTCCTTGATGATTATAAACGAACGAGTGTAAGGGCAAAACAAAAGTTTACACTTGGTACGTTCTCGTAAGCGACACCCAGAATTTTCGCTTGCAACCGTCCTATGGCCCCACAGCAAAGCGAATTCTTGCCCAAACCTACATACACACAACGCACGAAAAAAAAAACATTGAGCAAAGAAAAATCTTGAATGGGTGAAACGCTTTTGTTAAGCGGTGATTCGTATGTTCTTTCTTTTTCCTTACGAAACGGATTTCCTCCATTCTTTTAGAAGACTTTCCTTGAAAAAAGGATAGTTCACAGCCACATTGCTAATGGGACGCACGTGCTTCAGTTGCTATCTGTTCGCAGCCCACACGACTCACATCCTTCGTCTCCTCTCCAAACTCGTACAAGCCTTCAGGCTCTTGATTTAAGAATAACTAGCGGTCTCAATACAGTGGTTTCGCTCCTAGGTTTGAGGTGACTGTTGCTGGCTCACAACTAGTCTAGTTAATCATCTTAAGTAATGCTTTTTATTAGTGCCATTTGATGCGATAACGAAGGCCTATCGGTATCATAAGTGTGCTATCAAGTAGGTAACCTAAGCATTGCTGTCGGCGCGCGCCCTTTTATCCCATATCTTAATCGTACTCATACAGTAAATCAAGTAAATTATTGTCGGTCACTTTACATGTCGTAATAAACGATTATACGTGTAAAGTCCACTGGTCTACCGAATTGGTGCATCGGCCGTTGTACTCGAAATCTCTTCTGCGCTCGTTCTCCACGGTGTGAAACAAAAGGTGAGTCAACCAGATTAATTCCTCTACATATTCTCCCCAAAGAAACGGAATCAAGGCACAAATCATCCAACTCTTCCCTGCGAGAAGTAGAACAAACGTTTGTTTCCACCAGCTGGAATCAAACAATTGGATTTCTCCTAAAATTCCTCCCTGAGGAACAAGGAAGTCTGGAAAATCGGCTGTGCTAGCTCTCCCTTGGAGAAACAGAAGATTTAGCTAATCCTTTCCAACCCATTGGAAAGAGTCATCAATGTAACTCGCTATCCTTTCCGAGGAAGTGGGGACCCAATAAAGTCTAGCAACTTCTCCACAGTGAGAAACAGAGGGTGAATTAATAAAGCCATATTCCTCAACAAATCCTTCCTGAGGAAACTGAATTAAGGTGATATTGACCTACTCTCCCTGAGAAAAAGAGAATAAGTTTTTATTCCACCAGCTGGAATCAAACAATTCGTATTTTCCTAATACTCCTCCTTGAGGAACAAGGAAGACTGGAAGAAATCGTCTGAGCTAGCTCTCCCTTGGCGAAGTAGGCGAATCAGCTAGTTCATTCCAACCCATTATGAAGAATTATCACAGCTTTCCACTAACCTTCCTAAGGAAGTGGGAATCTAACAGCGAACTCCTGAACAACTCCTCCACAGTGTGAAACAGAAGTGCGCCAACCTTTTCCGTGTGAATCCTCCCTGAGGTACCCGAAAAGAAAGTAAAGTCCCGCGTGGCAGGAGCAACTCTACTGCGAAACCAAGGAAAGCTTCAGTAAAACGTTGTTGTAACGCTCTAAAATACCAAATCTCTGTTGACACTTAAAAATCGGTGATGAAATATACAATGACTGAGATTCAAGTGTTTAAAACGAAGATCACTCATGCTTGCGTGCTAATCAAGGACTTCGCTGTTGAATTATTCGGAAAGATCAATCAACTCAGCAAAAGCACCAGAAGTCAATAACTTGAACCAAGCATTTGTGTTCCCCACTCAAATGGAGGAATGCAAGGAGTACTTCAAAGACAGGACCTCGCTGTTGAATTATTTGGAAAAATCAATCAACCCAGCAAAGCAGTTCCACAACACATGCGTCAAAGAATTCATAGAGAAAATCAGTGGAAGAGCAGAGCAAAAAGAACACGAAAAGCTCATGCTAGACCTGAATAAGCACCTGGAAGTTGAATCGAACATACTGGAAGCCGCTGTCATACAGTGGTTGAATAAGATAGTCCAGAAAAAACGAGTTACTGCAACAAAGTGCGCTGATGGCTTTGTCTCAAGAAAGTAACAGCCATATTGTAAGTAACACCAGCTGTCAAGAAAGGTCTACTGGTGCAACGCCACATTAACGCAACATTCGGGTGCGACGCCCACTACTTGAAGTCCCTACCTTCTCAGGGAATTATAGGGAATTCAGCACCTTTTCGTCAGCCTTCGAGTCGCTCATTCACAGCGATGACGACTTGAGCGACCAAGAAATATTCTTTTTCCTTAAACAGGCTTCAAAAGGAAAAACTGCTCTTTCAATTAGCAGCATCCCGGTAATGGGAGAGAAACATTACCCCGTCAACATTCTCAAAAACATTACGACCGATCTGCAAGCATCGCACATATCCTGATAAACGAAATCGAACGTCTTCCGCGAGCTCAGGGGAATCGAAGAAACTGCTGCGAAATCTTTGCCGCTATCTCTTCGAGCGTCATACATCTGGAGCAGACAGGAACATCAATGAACGCTGTTCGTGTGTGGAAACTCTCGAAATTCACAGAATCGATTTGCGGTACCGTCATCGAGAAGAGAGCGAGGCTCGGAACCCCTTCGATGTGAACGATATTATTGCGTCCATCGATGAAAGCATTACTCTGCAGGAGAAAACCGAGCTGAGAACAAGAACGTTCGGATTTGAACAAAGCATACAAGACAATAACCTTTCAACCAAATGAGCCACAAAGAATGCTCAATCAACAACAAGAAAGTAGCCGAGTTCAGACCTTTCCAAATACTGCGCCTCAGATGACTACAACAAACGAGCAAAACCAACTATCTCACGATCAAGTGTGCTACAGTTAGTTTCAGCTCAAATTTTCAGTGAATCTGAGATGGATTATCAAACTATAACTCTCCTCTCGGATTCAAGAGCTCAACAAAGCTTTATCAAATCATCACTAAGCGCGGTTGAACTGCCATCGCTCAGTACCACATCATTTACTACCGTCGGGATGGGAGAGCTACGAAAACCCTTCCATTCCAACAAAGTCCGTATTACATCAAGAAGCTGTCACAGCTAGAAAAAGGACAAGCTAACAACTCATACGAGAATGGCCGAATTATCCGAGGAAGACAAGAGCTTTATCAAAGAAAAGTATTCACGACCGCGCAGCGGAGTCTACTCCTAGCGACTTATCTCCTGATCTACTTGTTGAACAAGATCTGCTGCACAGGATTCTCTACCACAACTCGGCAACTATCAAATTGCCGTCTGGATTAGACTCACACCCACTATATTCGGGTACACAATTTCAGGAACTAGCTGCATATCCGTTTAAATGAAGCAAGTTAGAGATGCACAATGTAGTTCGCTCATTGTGGCTAATCCTCTTATATCATCAAAAAACGACTACAAAACGGACGTGAAGCATCTGTACGAGTTAGAATCACTTGGAATTAATACGGAAAGTGGCGCAGATGAAGCAGCCGTCATCAAATTTATGGAAGACTACAGAAGAACCATTTCTATCGGAACTGGAACCATCGCTGCTGGATTTCCATCCACTAATAAAGTCAAGAACCTCAAAGATACCTTCAGTGTAGCTTATCAAAGATTGCAATGCCTGCTGCGAACACTGAAGGGGGATGAAGAAAAACGCAAGCTATACAGTGATACTCTCACGACGTACCTCTCAGAAGGAGTAATAAAGGAAGCAAAGAGCTTTTCATCTGGGAATTGTATTCGGTGCCTCTTAACATGCAAACTGCATTCATTAACCCCATTGATACATAAGTGATTCTCCAATTTCGCGCACACCTCAATACGATGGTGGCAGATGTACAAAAAGCGTTTCTACAGGTACGGCTGCCTAATGAAGACAGAGACGGTACAAGATTTCTCTGGGTGGAAGATACATCCCTTCCTCCGACACGCGACAATCTCAAGTACTTTCGCTTTGTAAGGAAAAGCGCGAAGTCGAGATAGAGAAAGAGAGTAAAATTACGAAATATCCGTGCGGGGGAAGAGCTGCCTATAAAAGGGCATGGATCTCATCCGGTGATTCATTCTCGCCTGGAGTCAGTCTCGGATTACCCTAGAAGGGGGATATCTGTCGGACACGCGCGTTAGTCTCATCCCCAAGAAGAGGGGGAAACTTAGGGTAAATTGGTGCCCTTAGAAGAAGGGTCAGCACTCTTCCTTCTCGTTAGAATTCATTTAGTGCCATTGTATTTAACCTTGGTATTGTACACTAATTGTATCTTAAACACTATTGCATTGTATACCAATTGTATTATCTACTATCACTTTAATCACTGTGAAGATCTCTGCCTTAGCTGTATTGTGTGCCTTAAGGATAAAGCTGTTATTTTACTGCTCTGTTCGAGTCAAGCAAGGTAATCAGCAAATTACCGCCAAACCTTACATGGGGGCCAAGCCGGCTCGAACGCAGTAAAAGAGCAGCATCACCTTGCGACCCAGAAGAGGTTCGCGAGGAAAACTAAAATATCGGTTTCTTTATTGTGAGAAGTCCG